AAATGGGGGGAAATGGGGGAAAAATGGAATAAAAGGGGGAATATGGGGCAGGGCTCTCTATGGGTCTGTCCATGGGTCAGGCCCCATCCATGGGGCGCGCCCCCAACTTGTGGGTCTGTCTATGGGTCTGTCCATGGGTCTCTCCATGGGTCTGTCCATGGGTCAGGGCTCTCTATGGGTCTGTCTATGGGTCAGGGCTCTCTCTATGGGTCAGGCTCTGTCTATGGGTCAGGCTCTGTCTATGGGTCTCTCTATGGGTCAGGCTCTCTCTATGGGTCTCTCCATGGGTCTGACCATGGGTCAGGCTCTGTCCATGGGTCTGTCTATGGGTCAGGGCTCTCTCTATGGGTCTGTCCATGGGTCAGGGGTCTGTCTATGGGTCAGGCCCCATCGCTGGGGCGCGCCCCCCACGTGTGGGTCTGTCTATGGGTCTGTCCATGGGTCTGTCTATGGGTCTCTCTATGGGTCTGTCTATGGGTCAGGCTCTCTCTATGGGTCAGGCTCTCTCTATGGGTCTCTCTATAGGTCAGGCTCTGTCTATGGGTCTGTCCATGGGTCTCTCTATGGGTCTGTCCATGGGTCAGGCTCTCTCTATGGGTCAGGCTCTGTCTATGGGTCAGGCTCTCTCTATGGGTCTGTCTATGGGTCTCTCTATGGGTCTCTCTATGGGTCTGTCTATGGGTCAGGCCCCATCCATGGGTCTGTCTATGGGTCTGTCCATGGGTCTGTCCATGGGTCAGGCTCTCTCTATGGGTCTGTCCATGGGTCTGTCCATGGGTCAGGCTCTCTCTATGGGTCCGTCCATGGGTCTCTCTATGGGTCAGGGCTCTCTATGGGTCTGTCCATGGGTCTGTCCATGGGTCTGTCCATGGGTCTGTCCATGGGTCAGGTTCTCTCTATGGGTCTGTCAATGGGTCAGGCTCTCTCTATGGGTCTCTCTATGGGTCTCTCCATGGGTCAGGCTCTGTCCATGGGTCTGTCCATGGGTCAGGCTCTCTCTATGGGTCTGTCCATGGGTCTGTCTATGGGTCAGGCCCCCCAGGTGTGGGTCTCACCGCCTCGGGGTCCCGCTGCAGCCGGGGGTGGGCGCAGAGGCCGAGCACCAGCAGCGCCCGCAGCAGCTCCCCCCAGCCCAGCGCCGCCAGCGCCCGGCCCTGCCGCAGCTGCGCCCGCACGCGCCCCACGCGCGCCTCCAGGGACTCCCCCTGCCCCATAGATCCCTCCTGACCCACAGATTGCCCCAGAGATCCCTCCTGACCCACAGATTGCCCCATGGATACCTCCTGACCCACAGATCCACCCATAGATCCCTCCTGACCCACGGATTGCCCCATGGATCCATCCTGACCCACAGATTGCCCCATGGATCCCTCCTGACCCACAGATTGCCCCATGGATCCATCCTGACCCACAGATTGCCCCAGAGATCCATCCTGACCCACAGATTGCCCCATGGATCCATCCTGACCCATAGATCCACCCATGGATCCATCCTGACCCACAGATTGCCCCATGGATCCATCCTGACCCATAGATCCACCCATGGAGCCCTCCTGACCCATAGATCCCCCCATGGATCCATCCTGACCCATAGATCCACCCATGGAGCCCTCCTGACCCATAGATCCCCCCATGGAGCCCTCCTGACCCACAGATCCACCCATGGATCCATCCTGACCCACAGATTGCCCCATGGATCCATCCTGACCCATAGATCCACCCATGGATCCATCCTGACCCACGGATTGCCCCATAGATCCATCCTGACCCACAGATCCACCCATAGATCCATCCTGACCCACAGATCTCCCCTTAGATCCCTCCTGCCCCATAGATCCCCCCAGAGACCTTCCCTGCCCCATAGATCTCCCCTGCCCCATAGATCCCCCCATTGATCCCCCCATAAATCCCCCCAGGGATGCTCCCTGCCCCATAGATCCCCCCAAGGATCTCCCCTGCCCCATAGATCTCCACAGGGACCCCCCCTGCCCTATAGATCTCCTCTGCCCCATAGATCCCCCCATAAATCCCCCCAGGGATGGTCCCTGCCCCATAGATCCTCCCATAAATGCCCCCATGGATCTCCTCTGCCCCACGGATCTCTGCCCCATAGATCCCCCCATAAATCCCCCCATAGATCTGCTCTGCCCCACAGATCCCTGCCCCACAGATCTCTGCCCCATAGATCCCCCCATAAATCCCCCTATAGATCCCCGCCCCATAGATCCCTGCCCCATAGATCCCCCCATAAATCCCCCTATAGATCCCTGCCCCACAGATCTCTGCCCCACGGATCTGTGCCCCACAGATCTCCACAGGGACCCCCCCTGCCCCACAGATCTCCCCCCCATAAATCCCC